TTTATTTATTTATTTATTTATTTAGTATTTTAGGGAAGGGTCTACTGGGTGTTCAGGGCCTTACTACTAGATCACACTGATAGTTTATTTATTTATTTGGCGGAACCAGGGATTGAACTCAGACCCTTGCGCTTGCCAAGCAAGCATTTATTCTACTGAGCCATCTCCCCGGCCCTAGATCAGACTCATAGTGATCCGCCTGTTAAACACTATTTAATTTAATTTATTTACATTTATTTAGTGTGTGTGTGTGTGTGTGTGTGTGTGTGTGGCCAGCTCAGCCCACCAGGGGGGCGGGGCTGGCTGGCTTGTGGTGCTGGGGGATCGAACTGCAGTCCCTGTGCTTTGCCTAGCTTGTTCCAAGTAGGTGCTTTAGACCACTGAGCCATCCCTCCAGCCCCTGTTAAACACTATTTTAAATGGAAGGGTTGAGGGCTGATGTCTGAGGCTTACCTTTGGTTTCAGAAGGAAAGCTTGTAGGTGTTACCAATTCAATATGGTGTTGGCTGTGGTTTTGTCCTATGTGACTTTCATTAGTTTGATGTAAGGTAAGGCCCTTCTTTGTCCATCAGGCTTTTTATGAGGAAGGGATGTTGAGTTTTACCATAGCACTCTACATTTATTGCAGAAATCATGTGATTTTCATGTATTTGGTTGTTACAGGGTCTCACTATGTAGCTCCAACCTGTAGTGATCCTCCTGTTTTCAGCCTCCTTAGCACTGGGATGACAGGCATACATCACTGTGCCCGGACTTGGTGGCCTATTCAGCATACCTGGGGGCAGGGCTGGCATAGCACGTGGTGCTGGAGATTGAACCCAGTCCCTGTGCTTGCCAGGCAGGTGCTTAACCGCTGAGCTATCTCACAGCTTGATTTTTATTCTTAATTCTATTTATTTTGTGTATTAAGTTTATTGATTCATATACATTGAATCATTCTTACATTCCTGAAATGCATCAAGGGGCTCACAGTGTATGACCTTTTTAAAAGTGTGTTGTTGAGGGTTTGACACGCATGTCCTTTGATGATATTGGCCTCTAGTTTTCTTTTGTTTTTTGTTGATTTCTTTCACAATTTTGGTATCACAGTGAAGCTAGCTGAATTGAATGAGTTTTTAAGCATCTCTTCTCTTTCAATGGAGAGGTCTGAGGATTGTTGACCTCTGTTCTTCGCTAAAATTATTTTTTTCCCTGGTAAGCGCAAGGGCCTGAGTTCAATCCCCGGTTCCACACACACACACACACACACACACACACAAACTTTTTTTTTTTTTTTTTTTCTTTTTTGCAGTGCCGGGGATTGAATTTAGGACCCTGTTCTTGCCAGGCAAGCACTTATTCTACTGGGCTATTTCCTCAGGCCCTAAAATTCTGATAAATTTCAGGAGAAGATGGTTAAACAAGAAGCAACAGTGGATCAACCTCTTTCAGACTCAAAATTCAGATACTGGAAAATAATAATTCAGTGAAGAAAAGATGGAGGGAGGTAGAGTGAGACCAAGCAAGAATCTGATAAGAAAGTCACAGCCTACGGAAAAATTGAAGAGACAACATGATGTGAAAAAGTGAAGAGACCGGGGCCGGGGAGATGGCTCAGTGAAATAAGCGCTTCCCTGGCAAGCGCAAGGGCCTGAGTTCAATCCCCGGTTCTGTGAAAAAAAAAGAAAAAATGAAGAGACAATTTGCACTTTTTCCCTGATTCTCAATATAGGGCTGGTGAAACAGGTGGGCTGAGAGACTGGGTGTGGAGGCATGCACCTGTAATCCCAGGTCTTGGGAGGCTGTAAACAGGTGGATCACTAAGAATCTGATCTAGTAGTGAGACCCTGAACCCCCTATAGACCCTTCCCTAAAATAAAAAAAAAAAAGAAATAAAAAAAAGGTGGGCTGGATCTACAAGAGATACGATGAAAGCAGTGGTTTTCATTCGGAGACAAATGCAGCGGAAGGGCGGGCCAGCAGATGCTGGGGGCTACAACACTTGGTGAATGACTCAAGCCCTGGTACCTGCAGTACTTGGGTGCCATCCTGGAAGGGGCCTGATTGGCAGGGGCCAGGGGATGCCTTATTTCAGAACTCCTAGCCTTATGCTCCCACTGTGGGTGGGAGTCAGCAGTTGACATCTGTAGTCAGAGAGCTGTGGTGAGACTGGTGAGAGCCAGAGGACCCGGACCTCATTCCCAATGGCCAAAGGCCCTGTGTAGCCTAAATCTGCTTGAATTTGAAAGCCCTGGGGATGGGGCGCCCATCCTGCTCCTACTACCTGCTGTTTGGTGACTGCCTAGTGCATACCTGTGCTTTGACCATTTTCTTTGCTAGCAGGAGTGTGGACACTTCTTTAATTGGCCTTTGCCCTAAGACTATGCTCTAGGGCAGGTGAATAGCTCAGGGACTAAGGGCCGGCTTAGGGAAGCACAGGGAGTGGGGTTCAACCAAGTCTGGGCAAGGTAGCACATGCCTATAATCCCGGGGCTGAGGAGGCTGAAAACAGGAGGATCACTATGAGTCCGAGATCATAGTGAGACCCTGTACCAAATACAGTAAAAAGAAAAAAAAACAAAAGACTAGAAGATAACCACATATTTCAAATCACAGAGAACCCCACCCCCACCCCTTCTCTTCTTTGCTTTTTTTCTTTATCACCCATTTCTTGGGTCTTGGGTAACTTCCCTTGGTTGCCTGCATTTCTCTTAATATTTTTTTTTCTTCTCTCTGTTTACCTCTTCTTCCTTCTAATTTTTATCTTTTTAAGCAGTTCTCTCATCTTCATATAATTTCTGACCATATAATTTCTTTTTTGTTCTCTCGTTCTTTCTTTGTCTTTTTGAGACAGGGTCTTGCTATGCAGTTTAGGCTGGCCTTGAGCTCACCTTGTAGCCAAGGCTGATCTAGAACTCACAACAATCCTCCTGCATCAGCCTCTTGAGTGCTGGGATTACAGGCCACCATGTGCCACCATGCCTGGTTTCTATTTCTTTTATTTTATTTGTTTTGCCAGACTTTTGTCCTAGTTTTATCTAATACAATAGATATCCTTTCTATACTGTCTCTCAAGTAAATGTTTGTTTTAAAAAAGGGCTGATAAATGAAAAC